CAAGGAACTCTCAAAGTCACTGCTTTAAGGGCAGTTTTACCATGAAATAACATGTTTAAGACATATTTAGATCACCATGTTATCTTTTATTGTTTTGAAAACGCTATATTCACTGAAAACGTCTTTGAGTCTCTCCTCGCCTTGTGAACACAGCCTCGTACAGAATCTTACAGCTATGCACAAGGAGGGCTTGAAAAGGGTCCTGGGACAGATCACTACATTACTCAAACATGCATGGATGAAATCTAAAACCTCTTCAGGCAGGTTTTTGATGAGGGAACAGTGTTACATGGTAGAAAGCTCCAAAAAGTCAAATTTGCATCCTACCCTTTCTTTAACACAGACTGGTCCTTCATTGTCAGTACTGTTCTCCAATACTTAAGTTTACAAAGTGAAGTCTAAAGTTGTCAGAAGTATCGAAAATCACATTCTAATTGATACTAAAACTAGTATCATAACTAGATACTCATTTCAGCAGTAAGTCAAACCTGTTCCCAGTGCATGTTGGACTCTGCCAGGGCTGCCTTTTGTCACCGGATCTGTTCATTGTTTATATGGACAGAATATTTAGGTGCAGTCAGGGGCCGGAGGGGGTTCGGTTTGGGGACCACAGGATCATCTCTGCTATTTGCAGATGATGTTGTCCTGATGGCTTCATCAAACCAGGACCTGCAATGTGCACTGGGGCGGTTTGCAGTCGAGTGTGAAGCGGCTGAGATGAAGATCAGCTCCTCCAAATCCAAGGCCATGGAAAAAGGTGACTTGCTCGCTCCGGATGGGTAGAGAGTCCCTGCCTCAAATATCCCGGGGTCTTGATCACGAGTGAGGGGAGGACGGAGCGGGAGATTGCCAAGCGGATCGGTGCAGCATCTGCAGTGATGCGGTCACTGTATCGAACTGTTGTGGAGGGAGGTGAGCTGAAAGGCAAAGCGATTTACTGCTCAATCTACGTTCCTCCCCTCACCTATGGTCAAGAGCTTTGGGTTAGGGTTACACAATCACACGGGAGGAGCTCAGAGTAGAGCCACTGCTCCTCTACATCGAGGTGAGGTGAATTGGGCACCCTTTACTATCAAAATCGAGTTTGAAATTTTAGTATTGAGACAACACTAGCCCCCAGTCTCTCGTGTAGTGAATCTTCTGCTCCTCTCCTCTGTTCCTCTCCTCTGACCCTCTCCTCTGACCCTCTCCTCTGACCCTCTCCTCTGACCCTCTCCTCTGACCCTCTCCTCTGTTCCTCTTCTCCTCTGACCCTCTCCTCTTCTCCTCTGTTCCTCTTCTCCTCTCCTCTGTTCCTCCTCTCTCTCCTCTTTGGTTTTGCTTCTCTCATTAAAACACCTGGAGTTCCTTTTAAAACAGACTCATAAGGACACTGTAACTTCACACGGTTAGAGCGTTAATAAACACAGACTGCTGCTGTCTCCTCTCTCTCTGGTGTGAAAAAGTCATTCCCAGTTTTGCTTTTTTCTCACTGATTTCAGTGTGAAAAATGAGTGTGAACATGCCCTTATGAAACCTTTCACAACTTTGCACAAATACCAGTGGAGCTGATGTTTTTCAATTAAAGTAGATCTGTGTAACTTTTCTGCTATACACTTGCTCGTCTCCATGGAGATGGCATTGCTTTCATATTACACTATTTTCTGATCTATGCTCTAATGTTGTTTCCTCATCACAACAGACCTGGAGTTGTTTTTCGTTTCATTCACGTATGTTTAACACACAGATTTAGGTGCTATTCTTTTCTCAAACGTTTGACCTTGTGATGTCATGTGGTAATACAGGAAGTGCTCCATCGAATTTTTAAACAACACACCTTCACTAAAATCATTTTGATAATTTCTGCCTTACAATTGCCAATCTCTGCAGAAGTAAAGATAGAAGCAGGCTGAAAACTACCACCACATGACATCACAAGGTGGAACATCACAAGGCATAAAGTTCACAAGAATCAGTTTTGTGTAATGTTTGACCTTTAAGATACGATAGCATAATTTTCGCAGTTTTCTTATTAATATTTTTTTAGTGGTCATTATTGTTGGAAATAGAAATACAGTTGGTTTATGAAGAGAGACTGCCATCTGGTGGTTCGTATCATGTACAGCAGTGAGCACTGAATCCAGCCTGCTCAAATGTTTACACCATTTGACTGTCCTAACATTTAGATTCAAAAAAAGTTTCAGTGAAATTAAATGTCATGTACATTTTTGGACAGTCTACAATAGCAATTTTTTTTTTTTTTCAGTTCAGATCAGGTCACTTTGGTCTCTTCACATACAAGATTTTCTACTCTGTATATTTTATTTATTTATTTATACATTGAAGTGAATCAACTTGCAGCCATAGCGTTATATGGGACATTGTAACTTCAAAGGATTTTGTCCCTCCTAAGACATGTGAATAAACCCTTCAAATATAACACACACCAGGAGTCTCCAACCTGTAGCTCCGGAGTTACCACTAAGCTCTCCACCCCCTTACAGGTCGCTTGCCCAGGGATTTCTGAATTATACGTATTATACAGAAAACTCAAATTTGATGAATTTGAGTTATGAAATGTCTGTGCTCTAATAAATGGATAATGGTTCTATGTTTAAAGGCATCTAACACTAAGGCTCGCCCTCTTATATCTATTCAGTTTCCTGCGACCGCTAAAATGAGCAGCTCTCCGGCATTTTCATTTTGTAAAGGTAACTCACCGGACGCAAAAGGCTGGAGCTCCTCGACCTACACATGTACACATACACACCCTCCAAACTCAAATTCTTCTTAACACATTTTTGACGAAATGTACAAGATTTTTTTTTTATGTCTAATCCCAAGTATGAATGATTCAAGTTTAAACTAAAATGAGATGAAATTTGAACTCACTGGCAAGTTTTAAGTGAGACTTTCTTCATTCAAATCCTAAATACATTTAGGCTCCAAACTGTTCTGTTTAGCTGCATATGACTGGAAGGTGTTTAGTTAAGTTTTGATTAGTTTGTTTTCTGGTTTTAGTGTATTTCTTAATCAAGCATTTTGTATTCCTTTGTGTAAAAATTGTGCTATATAAATAAACTTGCCTTGTCTTGATAATCTCTATATTTTTAATATGACAGCAAAATGTACCAACCTATTTTTGAGGTTCAGATGTTCAATTATTTGCACATGCCTTTTTTTGATATGAAAACATGACCCGATTTCTTTTATTTGTGTGAGTAAACTACAGAAGAAGTTTCATAGTCATATCTCTAAATGTAAGATTTTATTTTTTATTTTTTTTCCACCTGTTTTGCTTTAAACCTGCCTGTCTTTTTCTGAAACCTGAAAGCTGAGCAACACTGACATCAAGTGGCAGAAAAGGCTCACTGCAGTCTCAGAAGCTCAACAGTCACCACTCACTTCAGTTCTGGAAGTACATTTTTTTAATTTTGGGGTTGACTCCAGATCCCTCTCCTCTCTGGTTGCTAGTCTTGTCGTTTTTTGTCTGTACTGTGTTTTTGTTGTATGTGTTATTGTTACTGCTTTTTTCTTTATGTACTGGTTCTAGATAGTGTCCCAGATTCCCGACAGTTAGTATACGTTTCCAGAATCTAGATAGTTAGTTGTATAAAAAAGATAATTATGTCACAGATCTGAAGATAGCAACTGTTTACCTTAGCTTTGTGTTGCATAGTTTGTATGAAAGCTCTCTATACATTTGCGTTTTTTTTCCCATAGACTTTTTGAACACAATCACACTTGTATCCATAACATAGCCTAGTTGTTTCTGATTAAATGCCAGATTCTGCTAAATCATAATGCTTTAATAACTGTGGTTTAAAGTTTCAGAAACATATTTTAGATCAAATTATTGTCATAAGTTACCACATAACACTTTTTTTTAATCCATCACTGTCATTCTATGGATCATATTAAACTTTTTTTTTTTTATAATTATTATTTGAATACCTTCTTCCGTCCTTTCTTAATTGAGATTGCTGTTAATCACCTCTCCTGTTTTAGTTTCAGCCTCAGACAGATCAGTGCGTCACACCTCAGAGTATGTTGATGAGCTTATTTTGATGAAATAAAGAAACACGTGTCCAGGTTTTACTCATGTACTTTAATCTTATCCCAGACCAAATGCTGCAGGAGAAAAACAAATCTATTTCTGAAAAGACACTTTTTCACATTTGTCCAACACAAAAAGGTTCAAACATCAGACCAAGGGAAAGCTCAGAGACGCTGCACAGAGCACATCTACCACACCCACAACGACTTCAACCTGAGAATCTCACTAAGATGAATTTGTTTTGACTTGTTTGTGTTTTATTTGGGGCAGCGGAGGTTCAAATCCCAATTTTGAACAATTGAGCAAGACACTACTGGTTAAACCTCTTAGTCAAAGCCCAGTCTCATCAGATCTTGGAAGCTTAAGTCTGAGTCTGGTCAGTATCTGGATGGCTGACCGCTGGGAGTAGCAGGTGCCACAGAGGGGCAGCGGTGGCTCTACAGTTGTTGTGTCATTAGGCAAGACACTTCATCCACCTTACCAACTATATATTCATTTGGAGCTTGCTGATTAATCAATAGGGATGCACCAATCCAGCCTGTTCAGTTCTGATACTGATATCGATACTATGACTTTAAGTATTTGGTGATATCTTTTTTTAAACGATACCAGTGTAGTGTCAGAAAATGGCACTTTCATTTTAAAACACAGTTAACTTCCTACACAAGAGATACAATGGTGTTATGCAACTGTTGTTTATCCTTTGTATGAAAAAAAGTTCAAACATGAGACCTGAGGCCTTCTTGGCCAAAATCAGCCTGCAAATAGTCTTGTAGCATTTAATTACAGGCCCAGCCAGAGTATCGGCTTCATGAAATCGATACCTGATCCAGCAACTTTTTCAGTACTGGTGACAATATTCGATACAGTATTGGTATCGGTGCATCCCTATGAATAAACAGAAGTGTACAGATTGTGAACTGTCTTCACTTGAATGATAAATGACACAAACAGCTCTGGGGATGATAACACTTAATATCTGTGGTTGTAAGTCCTTGTATGTGCAGTAGATGTGTTTCTCACAGAACATTGCACACAGGCCACACAGACAGACAGTGGTGCATTCACGTACATCGCGGTGCCTTTAAAAGCGTGGCTGTGCCTTTAATATCATCGCGGTGTCTTTAGGAGCAGTGCTCTGCTGTTAGGAGCATTGTGGTGCGTTCAGGAGCAGTCAGTAAACAGGACTCCTCTTCAGGATGTACGGCCGTCTGGACTTGGAGTTGTGCGTCTGTCTCTTTAAGATGTACGGAGACTTTCTCTTCAGAGGAACATCAGGACTCTCCTCCACAAACTCCACCGAGTCCGACTGTAACTGACACAACAGAGAGAGAGAGAAGGAGGCAGGGAGAGGGAGAGAAGAGAAATGTTGACTTTTGGTTGACTCTGACGGGCTTCTTTAAGATAATTTAGAATGACAAAATAAATATTTTATAATTTTACCTCATGCATGGACTAATTACTTTTATTATAGATGTGTTTTTTTGTTTTTATTACATTTTTGCTAAGACAACAGTCACAACAAACTCTTACCAGTCTTACCAGCTCATCAAAACAACGATATTTACTGCTTTTTATAAAGAAATACAATTAAAATTATGCAGAATTAAGTTAAGCATTTTGGCCTAGGTGTTCACAATATTTTCTGTTTCTCATGTGGCCCCATGGAAAAAAGAATTGCCCACCCCTACTTTAGACTGACATTCGCGTGCATCATTAGTTCTGTTTGTTTTCATGGACAAAAGTTAGAAGTTATTTCACTCTAATTTAACTTTATGAACATATTTTGTCATCACATCATGAGAACAGACTGGTTTTAGTCGTAGCATCTGGCAACCCAAAGTGCCAAAGTGCGGAGGTGATTCTTCTCTCTTGTATAAAACTAGAACTGTTATTAAAATGATTCCATTGTCCATTTAGGGGCTGATGTTTTTCTGTCTTGTGTTATGTTTTCTCAGCCTCACATTTTCATTAACATTTTTATTTCATGTTTGTGTTAGTTGTTGTAGCACTGCTTTTTGTAACTACAGCTCCAAATAATATTTACTCAAGTAGAAGTACAAAGTAGTGGTCCAAGAAACTACTCAAGTAAGAGTAACTTAAAGAGCCACTGCCTGTACATAACATCTTATATATAATTTCAAGTAGGAGTAAAAGTGTGCTGATAGAAAAGTACTCTGATTTTGGATACTTTTGACACCACTAGTATATATGTTTGTGTGTATATTTCCAGTCCATGTCTCACCCGCTGCTCTCTGTTCTGGAGCATTCGGCACAGCAGTCGGAGCCCATACAGCTCCTCACTCAGGGGGGCGGGGCCTGGCTCGCTCAGCTCCGCCTCCTCCTGCTCCACTTCCTGGTCCGCTCGCTCCTGGCTCCAGCCCTCGTCGTCCACACTGGTCACGAGACGGCACAGCGTGGATAGGGACACTCTCCAGAAGGGGGCGCTCTGCTTACTCTGTCTCATCTGCACACAGGACGTCATAATGGTCACATGGTAAATGGTCATATTTTTATACAGCGCTTTCCCACCTTCAAGGCGTTTAAAGCACTTGACATCAAAGAACCACTCGTCCACCCTTTGTCCTGCCCAAGGACACAACAACAGCATTCATCTGTGGGAGCTGGAATAGCACCACAAACCTGTGGGTCAGTGGATCTGACCGCTCAACCAATGACGTTTATGGAGTAACAGGAATGTTTGTCCACTGATCCGAAGGTTGGTGGTTTGAATCCCGTTCTTGACATAAACATCATTGGTTGAGCTTTCAGATCCGCTCAACCAATGATGGCTGGCTGGTGCGATTCTAGCTCCCACAGATGAATGCTGTCATTGTTTCCTTGGGCAAGACACTTAACCCACCTTGCCCCCAGTGTCTGTGTACACTGGTGTATGAATGTGTGCATTTTGAGCGCTTGTTTGTTGTGAAAGTTGGCAGATTCTAACCTTCAACTTTCACAACACAATCAGTGTGCATCCCACTAATGAAACTACTGCACAACACATACAGCTAACTAAACCATAAGGAGGGTTTGAATAGGACCTGAGAGATCGCTAGATTACTCAGACATGCATGAATAACATCTAAAACCTCTTCATGATGATGATGCATCAGTTTTATAGAGCGCTTTTCTGGGCACTCAAAGATGCTTTACAGATCATTATTCATTCACTCCACACTCAGAGGTGGTGAACTACTATTGTAGCCACAGCTGCCCTGCCTCAAACCACAACCATCTCTCACGCACACAACACTTTTATACCAGGCAATGTGGGTGAAGAGTCTCGCCTAAGGACACAATAGCAGTTTTTTGCAACTGGATCCCCCCTGTGGATCCTGATTTTCCCAGTGGTCTCCCGCTCAAGTACTAACCAGGCCCAGCCTTGCTGAGTTTCTGAGATGTGAGGGGATCAGGCTTTGACAGGCATGTTTTCAATGAGGGAACAATGTTCTATATGGTAGAAAGCTAGTTTTACATCAGACGAAAATAAAAGTTGAAAATCACATGAAGTAGCTCTGAGTTCCAAAAGAAATCCCTCTATCACTGACATATTTATGTAATTACTCGGTCTATCCACATGAAACAAAAACTGGCACAAAGTTCAACATTTTTGCCAGTAATTGCAGAAATACAAACCATAAACCAGGTCCACGAATCTGCAATTGGACAGTTAAACAGCAAACTCCACCTGAGGATTCTAACCTGTCTCCTGCTCTGTTTAAACTACAGAGATTCTACAATGTGCTGATGTCATGTGAACTCAACACTAATTTCCCTGTTCTAATACGTCCTCTGTGTCTCTGTGTCTCATCATCTGTTCAGTCCAAGTGTTAATTAACTCCAACCCCAAGAGTCTGTTTATAATGAACTATAATACCTCAATGACTCATCGTCTGCATCCTCTGCTCCTCTGACCTTCTCCTTTGCTTCTTCTAACCCTCTCTTTGGTATCCTCTGCTCTTCTGACCCTCTACTCTTCATCTTCTGCTCCTCTGATCCTCTCCTCGGCATCCTCTGCTTCCTCTCACCCTCTACTCTGCTCTTCTGGCCCTCTCCTCTTCATCCTCTGCTGCTATGACGCATTCCTTGGCATCCTCTGCTTCTTTTCACCCTCTCATCTGTTCCTCTGACCCTCTCCACTGTTCCTCCAACTCTCCTCTGCTCCATCTGACCCACTTCTGTCTCATCTGATCCTCTCGTCTTCTCCTTCTCCATCTGACCCTCTGCTCCTAGACCTTCTCTGCTCCTCTGACCCTCTCCTCTTCTCCTTTGCTCCTCTGACCCTCTCCTCTTCATCCTCTGCTTCTTCTGACCTTCTCCTCTACTCCTCTGACCCTTTCCTCTGCATCATCTTCTTGAATTTAGAGTCCAAAGTAAAATAGATCAAATAGTTCACAGGAAAACCTCATTTTGCGTGACACAGGAGAGCACTTTGCTGTTATGGCCTGTGACTTTCAGGTGAACCTTTGCACAGCTGGAATTATCACCATTCCTCTGATATCAGAGTTTGACATGGCCTTACTTTGGTATTTGTTTGTTTTTTTTAGGTCAAAAGTGATGGACCTCTATTGGAGGAATGTTCAGCAGCACAAATCATCGCCTGTTGCAGTTCCAGTCAGTTCTTTCTTGGGTTGAATAGTGGCACCATTTTCATTTTCAGATTCCACCAGAGTATTTTGACCTGTCGTCCAGCTCGGTGTTAATGCTATCGACAGCGGTATGTGTGTGTGGTATAATCTGATCTGAGGGCCACAGCGCCAGGGGCCCATAGAGACACTGAAACATATGAAACGGCTCCCGGCTTCAGACTCTCATTTTGTTTAAACCCTTTGGTCCAGAGATGCTCCATTCTCATGATATTAAACTTCATTTGGACCACAGGCTTACAGGGAGAGGACATGGGTAGTACGCGGGAAGTACACCAGTAGTAGTAATCCTTCAGGTACTGTGATATATGTCATCTTGAATGGGTGACAGGAAATATTACCAGTTTTCTAAACCAGACCAAGAAACACCAATCTCTGTGTCGCTTAAGGAAGACATATTATGCATTAGAGTTGGGTGGTAATACGATATTACAGCATCCCGAGGTATCAAAAAGTAGCAACAGTATCAGTTTTATCATCGTCATTAAAAAAAAAAATCTGCAGCGCATAACATAATATAATTTATTGATACTAGGGGTGTAACGATGTCCAAATCTCTCAGTACAATATCATCATGGTATGAACCTCACAGTACCATATTTACTGCGATATTTTGTGGAGGTTAACAAAATTGTTAATATGCTAGTTTTTCCTATTAAAATGCCTTGACAAACTTAATCCAAAGAACTAAGACTTCAAAGTGCTGAGAACTGTTATTTCTTCATGTAGTCTACACTGAAATGGAGCAAAGGATCATGGTCTATGTAGCTCCCTCTATTTTCTGTTATTATAAGCCTGTAAATTCTGTTGATAAGAGATTAACCAGGTCTAAACTAAAACCAGGTCTAAACTAAAACCAGGTCTAAACTAAAACCAGGTCTAAACAAAACTTAACTAGTACTCTACCAGGTGTAAATCAAGAATACACCAGAAAGAAGCCAGGAACTAAACCAGGTCTAAACCGGAACTAAACCAGGTCTAAACAAGGACTAAACCAGGTCTAAACAATGATTAAACCAGGTCTAAACAAGGACTAAACCAGGTCTAAACAATGATTAAACCAGGTCTAAACAATGATAACCAGGTTAAACTAAACACCAACTAAAAGTCTAAACAATGATTAAACCAGGTCTAAACAATGATTAAACCAGGTCTAAACAATGATTAAACCAGGTCTAAACAATGATTAAACCAGGTCTAAACAATGATTAAACCAGGTCTAAACAATGATTAAACCAGGTCTAAACAAGGACTAAACCAGGTCTAAACAATGATTAAACCAGGTCTAAACAATGATTAAACCAGGTCTAAACAATGATTAAACCAGGTCTAAACAAGGATTAAAGGTAAACAGGTCTAAACAAGGACTAAACCAGGTCTAAAAGGACTAAACCAGGTCTAAACAAGGACTAAACCAGGTCTAAACAATGATTAAACCAGGTCTAAACAAGGATTAAACCAGGTCTAAACAAGGATTAAACCAGGTCTAAACAATGATTAAACCAGGTCTAAACAATGATTAAACCAGGTCTAAACAAGGATTAAACCAGGTCTAAACAGGAAACCAGGTCTAAACAATGATTAAACCAGGTCTAAACAAGGATTAAACCAGGTCTAAACAAGGACTAAACCAGGTCTAAACAAGGACTAAACCAGGTCTAAACAAGGATTAAACCAGGTCTAAACAATGATTAAACCAGGTCTAAACAATGATTAAACCAGGTCTAAACAATGATTAAACCAGGTCTAAACAAGGATTAAACCAGGTCTAAACAAGGATTAAACCAGGTCTAAACAATGATTAAACCAGGTCTAAACAAGGATTAAACCAGGTCTAAACAAGGACTAAACCAGGTCTAAACAAGGACTAAACCAGGTCTAAACCAGGTCTAAACAATGATTAAACCAGGTCTAAACAAGGACTAAACCAGGTCTAAACAAGGACTAAACCAGGTCTAAACAATGATTAAACCAGGACTAAAACAAGAAACAAGACTAAAGCAGGACTCAACCAGCACTCAACCAGGATTAAACTAGGACTAAATCAGGTCTGAACCAGGACTACACCAGAACGAAGCCAGGTCTAAACCAGGTCTAAATCAAGTCTAAATCAGGATTAACTAAACCTGATCTAAATAAGGGTTAAAAAAGGACTAAACCAGGACAGAAGCAGGACTCACCCAGCACTTAACCAGGATTAAACTAAGACTAAATCAGGTCTAAACCAGGTCTAAACCAGGTCTAAACCAAGACTACACCAGAACGAAGCCAGGTCTAAACCAGATCTAAATCAGGATTAAACCAAGACTAAAAAAAGGACTAAAGCAGGACTCAACCAGGTCTAAACTAGGTCTAAACCAGGTCTAAAGGCGGCTACGGTGATAATTCCAGAGGAGGAGACCACTTGAGACCCACTCCAGCTCCTCTGCTGTGAAAACGTTTAACACGAACCACACAAACCACAAAAACGATTCTTGAAACATGTTAAGAGCCGAATGATTACAGAGATTAGAGACCCGACGCAAGAATCTATTATGCGTGAAAAGGTTTTTATGGAAATCAACTTATATACATGTACTGTAAAGGGCACATTTAAAAGGTTTGTTTTGTTGGATTAGCACAGGAGACGGCCGAAGTCTTCCTCAGATCTCTTCTCGTGTTATTACCGGTAAATCTATATGGACTGTACCACTGATGCCCTCCCAGGAGACCGTGTATTATTAAGCCAGTATTGACTCTTTCAACCCAGATGCCCTCCCCACCTGACAGGTAAATGACACTGGTAAAGGTTAGCTTATTTAACATATTGATTAACGAGAGACTGCATATTTGGTTTAATATAGTTTAATTTAAATCCGCCCCTTGTGAGAGACCACCAGTGTTTTTAATATAGCGCGGGTTTGATTGACCAATCCTTGTGCTTACTCTGTGCTTTAT